TATATATATATTATTAATAATTATTTAAAAATTAAATTGCGTGTATCTTACGATACACTATTTTTGAAAAACGATACGCCTTCCGATACGCGATTTGACAACTATAGACAATAGTGCCTCAGTCATGGTGTTGAGGTTCTTAAGGTGAGGTGACGATGATGCAAAAATGGTTATGGCTGTGGCAATTGAGGTATACTGGAGATGGCAGTAGTGCTACAGTGATGGTGTTGAGGTTGTTGTGTTACATTGGTGGTGACAATAGTGCTTCAGTCATGGTGTTGANTATACTGGAGATGGCAGTAGTGCTACAGTGATGGTGTTGAGGTTGTTGTGTTACATTGGTGGTGACAATAGTGCTTCAGTCATGGTGTTGACCATTGAGGTTCTTAAGGTGAGGTGGTGGTGGCAATAATGCTACACAAGAGGCTCAAGCATTGGCAATGGTGAACGTGTGCCTATAGATTATATTTTAATTGTGATTGACACTTTGATTTGCATTCAATTTTGATTTATGATATTCAATTATGCTTTCGATTTCAAATTCGACTCTAATTATTTATTCAATTTTGATCTTTGAATCGAAGAGATTTCTATTCGTGCTGCAATTGAGTTTAATTTGATTTTTCGGTTTGAATTTGATCAATTGGCATAATATGAGATTATGGTGGTCGTGCATAGTGTGGTGGTGGTAGGGGCACTAACATGGTGATTTGGTGGTAGTTGTGCACAGTAGGATGGTGGTGGTAGGAAGTGGGGAGGTAATTCAATGGGGGTGGTGGCAATACAAGGAGAAGAAGAATGGGGGTGGGTTGTCTTCCATGGAAAAGGGGGTAAGAGTCTGTCCAAGCAGGAAAAGAAAGAGAGGAAAGTGGCATTATGGTCATTTTGATCTTGCCATAATGGGGTTAGGTGTGCGTTCTAGACTTCTGGTCCAAGGGGTGGCTGAAGTTCAAAAGGGGTAAGGGAGTAACAAGAAGTTTGCCCTTGATATTATTGTCACAATAAAACAAAAATAATAAAAATTTCTAAAGATAAAAGCAATATTGTTGTTCTAAAGCAAGACCATTCCTGCAATTTGGTCAAATTGATCTTTTTGTCATGGGCAAGTTAAGTGTTTGGTGTCAACAACAATTAAATGAGAAAGTGAACCAACTAAGCCTAGAATAGCCATTTACTGATCAAGTTCTCATTTCCTAAACTTTGGCTGTTGGGACTGTAAATTGACTAGAACACTCAAGAATCTCATTTGAACAACTCCTAGAATATTGAAGATAATAGCAAAAAGAGAAAAAAAATGGCAACAACAACTATCATAGCTTTGGACTTTAATACCTATAGAGCCAATAATTTTGAAAGTGACACATTTCTTATACTTCCTAATATTCAATTTTCTATCAGAATGTACTTCTTTCTTACACATATTCACAATTTGAAAACAAATCTTCGTCTTTAAACACAACAGGTCATAAACATAGAAAAGAGACCCTGAAATTTAAAAAAAAAAAAACTAGAAATAAATGCAAGATAAAACGTATGAATTATTCAAAGCTTGAGATGTAATGAGGTTAAAGTATATCAATTCTAGCCCATGGTTCTTTCTCTTGGTACTAAATCGATTTCCAAATGTTCTATCTAATGTAACACAAATCTTTGTATTATAGGGGTTTGTTAAAGTATAAATAGTTAAATTACACCCTCACTAACAGTTTAAACTTTTGAAGCAGGTGATGTTTTAATATGAAACCTAGCTCAAATAGCTAGGCCCTTCATGTTCTAATCAAAGGCGTGAGTAAAACCTCATAAGGAAAATGCCATCATTCATATTGGAAAATAATGTACAACTTGGGAGTTTTGGGAAGTCCTACATAAGAGTAGGACAGGTCCCTCATACATATTTGAAATAGCATAAAAAGCACTCAAATAAGACGCGCAGATATTTGTAAAATCATATTGATGCAATGATGAATCGCAGGCATAAAATAGAAGTTAAGTTTGAATTACAATCTTAAATTCCCGAGTTTTAAGGAAATCACTACGATATGACATTGACTGCATTGAAGCCTTCTAAAACACTATGAATCACACTTTTAAGGTATTGACAATATAGTGTACATCAACATCTATAGTATAGAAGGCGAAATTTAAAGCAAAAATGAGCAAATTGAGACATCTAACTGCATATTGCTGCGCAATGGCAATACCCAAAAAATATATATATATTTGAAGCTTCCAATGGTAGATAAGTTGAAATGATTGCAGAAAATAAAAAAAATTGAGCTCAGGAAAACGGAAGGTCAGTAGTAGAAAGTGAGAAGAATTTTAGGATAATTGTATACCGATCGAGTCTCGTAGAGCCTGAATTTCTGCATATAGCTATGAGGTGAAGTTGCGGGATAAGGAGGAGGGGATGGTTGTTGTTCACCTTCGGTGGTCCCAGAGCAGGGTAGCGACTGGTTCCCTAACGCCGATGCCATTGCCAGATCCCGATGCCCGAGCCTCAGGCTCGGGAATCAATCACACCGGCATTCAACAATCACTCAATTTTTTAAATACAATGACAATTCTACCGGGGTCGGCGACCTATAATGCAGCACATCACCATATCCAAGCAAGGTTGTTTCAGATATAGCATTTTTCTCCTCTCGAATCCCCCTTTTGACTTGACTTTGTTATTCCCACAATTCCTTCCCTTCCGTTCACAATCAACAATCCCTAATTTATTATACAGAGACACACGAGTATATGTATGTTCCTGCGTATAGAAATGCTTGAATTATTGAAAATAGCTGCTGATCTTTGATCAAAACAATAAGAAAATAACAAGGTTTGGAGGAACAGGGAAAAAAATAACACCGTGAGAGAAAATAGAAAGCTAAATTAACAGGATGAAATTATTCAGTACAAGATGAAAGTAGAAAAATACATATACTTGATACACGGAAATGGGAATCTAATTGAATAGAGAAAAGATCGAATAGACGAGGAACAAAATTTGTTTGGGAGGGGGTGGTTTAAAGGAAAGAGAGAGATACAGAGGAAATAGGGCAAGAGCTATATTTTCTCCGATGCTGATGATGATGGTGATTATGATGTTTTTCTGCTTCTGTTTATTACAGATGTGAGAGAGAGAGAGAGAGAGTTGAGAACTTGAGATCCGCAAAAGGCAAAATAGAAACCACAGCTTATTAGGTGGTCGCACCTTGCACACATAAAATTGTTATATATATATATATATATATATTCTAATAAAAAAAGAAAATCAGAAACCGAATATTTGAAAATTTGATCCTATTTCCTTCCAATTCGCTGACCTCCTCCTTTCTCTATTTTTTTTTGTTTAAAAAAAAATTATTTTTTGGACAATCCAATGTGCCAATAATTAGAGGTAAGCTCCGCGTAATTTTTGGTTTTCATTTTTTAAGTAAGAATAATGATAAGGCTCAACTCAAGGCCAAGGGAACTCTCTATACTTGCGTAATTGGACGTAATATTATTATTATTATTATATTAGTTATGTTTTGTTAGAAACAGTCAGAAAAATTATTTATAATCAATTATTAAAACGTGTTTCCTATTCTGATTGAATATTGACCATTTTTTCTATTTGGTATTTTTTTTTCCGTTTTTCAACAAAAAAACAAAGATGCACATGTTAAGGAGGTCAATGCTAATTCTAGGCTGGAACTAGATCTACAAATATACATACCCCTTTCAACTTGCACGCAATCATTGGGAGATAAATACATTTTTGTATAGTTTAACAACTATCACACCATCATGTCATGTGTTGTGCACATTGAATAATAGTCTCTCACAAAATAACTTATCAGACTCATAAGTTAAAAATAAATATATATATATATATATATCTGAAAATCTGATAAGATAATAAATCATAATGATTAATTAAACATATATTGAATTATTTTTTTACAATTTACATTGTTTTCTTCAGATTGGGTTTGGAATATTTAGAGGGCATTTTTACAATCATCATGACATATCAAATCATGTTAAATAAACTGTAAACTTTTTTGTATGAAATACCTTTTGAGGTCGTAAAATATAATTTATTATGAGTTCATCAGTCCATAAAACAAAAGATTATTAACATAAAATGAAATGTCATCACTACTAATAATTGTTTGTATCTTAAGGTACAAAATAAAAAAAAATTTAATATATTATGCTAAAAATTTATATCTTTACAACAATTTAAACACATTAACTAAAAGATTCAAAATATCCACACTTTCAAATTAAAAATGAAAAGAATCATATCATAATCATATATATAAAGAATTAACATAGACAAAATGCTAAAAATATATAGCTCAAGTATAAAACATTTGTTGAAATTTATATAAGTCACATTTGAAATTCAAATCATTTTATAATTTAGAGCTAACAAAAATTATTACCCAAAAATTATAAATTAAAGAAAATATTATTACCCTATAACACTAAAATAAATAATAAATTTATATATATACTATTATAAATATCAAGATACATGAAATACATTTTCCAGACACTTTTGTCATCCAAAATTTTGAAAATGCCAAGATCACTATTGAATTTAAATACCAAACATTTGTGACATTAATCATACACATCTCCGATTTTAAACTTTTGGTTTCCTAACCTCCTTTTCTCTGACACACATCTCTATATTTACTTCCATCTTTCATCTACCAATTGTTCTCTTCCACCCATAACAAATAAATTGACTTTCTTGTGTATGACTTCTGCTATTCCTCTAATGTTTTAATTTTGTCTTTTAGTGTGTTTTTTCTTCTTCGCCGAAAACAACAAATAAAATCAGATTCAACAAAATGGTAAGGAACAAAAAGTAGCCCCTTTGGAATTGAATGAGATCCTCACTACGCCTCATGAGCCACGACCCAAGAACTATCTATGTATTGAAGTCCCAAATCTCTTGCATATCATCTCTATTCATGTTTGTAAACCTCGTATGATCAGTCATTAATTTGTTGAGTTTTTCATTGATTTCGTTTATTATACTATAGTAATCTCAACTTTTTTCTAAAGTGCAAAATTTGCGGTTCACTTTAATTATATTCTTAGAGTATGATCAGTTTTGTGTTAATGATTAGTTTCATGTGTTGCATTTTTTGATTAATTTCCTCGCTAGAGCTTCTTTGAACCTAGAGTGAATATAAAACTTGTTGGAGGTACCTTTTGAGCTATGGTGGGTTTGACATTCTGAGGGTTTTTCCTTATAAGTATATTTGTTTGTTAAAACACATGATGGTCATTTACCTATTTACTTTTTCAGAAGAAATGTCGCAGACTTACATATTGTACTCTTTTATTTTTTAACTAGTAATGAACCACGTTGTTGCACATGAATAATTTTCGTATACATAATAAAAAGTATTATGTATATGTGGTTTATTCGGTTTCGGAGGAGTGTTTGAGAGAAAGAGAGAGGGAGGGAGAGAGAGATAAAATAAAAGGTTTTCAAAAGAGACGCTAAAAGGTTTTCAAACTGGNTAAGTAAGAATAATGATAAGGCTCAACTCAAGGCCAAGGGAACTCTCTATACTTGCCTAATTGGATGTAATNAATAAATTTATATATATACTATTATAAATATCAAGATACATGAAATACATTTTCCAGACACTTTTGTCATCCAAAATTTTGAAAATGCCAAGATCACTATTGAATTTAAATACCAAACATTTGTGAAATTAATCATACACATCTCCGATTTTAAACTTTTGGTTTCCTAACCTCCTTTTCTCGGNTATTATTATTATTATATTAGTTATGTTTTGTTAGAAACAGTCAGAAAAATTATTTATAATCAATTATTAAAACGTGTTTCCTATTCTGATTGAATATTGACCATTTTTTCTATTTGGTATTTTTTTTTCCGTTTTTCAACAAAAAAACAAAGATGCACATGTTAAGGAGGTCAATGCTAATTCTAGGCTGGAACTAGATCTACAAATATACATACCCCTTTCAACTTGCACGCAATCATTGGGAGATAAATACATTTTTGTATAGTTTAACAACTATCACACCATCATGTCATGTGTTGTGCACATTTAATAATAGTCTCTCACAAAATAACTTATCAGACTCATAAGTTAAAAATAAATAAATAAATAAATAAATATATATATATATATATANACATATAATTGTGATTTATAGTTATCTTATTCTATAGTTATTCATTGAAATCTATGGTTTTTGGTCCTTAAAATATTCAATTATTGTTTAAATGGTCCCTAACCAGACAGTTCATTAAGTTTTTTAATAGAAGTGACCACATGTTATTCCGTTAGACAGTATCACGTTATCACTTCTATCAAAAACTTAATAGGCTATCTATGTATAGATCATTTAAACATTAACTAAATACTTTAAGCACTTANTTTGTATATATGATGTTCAAGATTCTTTGGGGTTTTGATCCTTCAAAGTTTCATGGCATCAATAGTTTGCCAAAAAATAATATTTCGATTGCAGAAGTTTGGTTTTTTTTTCATATTCGTTAGTATATCTTTGCCAATATTCCGTTGTGTTTTATACATTTCAAACATACTTGTCAATCACATCTAATTATTAATTCCCACAATTGGGCTTATAATGCTAAATGTAATAATTTTTTTATTGATTATTTAATCCAATGGTCACAACTACTTAGCAATTTAGACGTCTTAATTCAATTAAAAGGTTTGGTTTTTGACATCGTTTTATTGATAATTATCGTTGTAGCCCACTCGGCAGACATGTTAATCCATTACAACTTCTAAGAGTCAAATTGAGAAGGGATGTGAAGTCGTTTATGCTTGGAATTAACTTGAGAGTTGGACAACTTTTATTCATAAATCATCGAGACACATAAGCATTTGGAGACAATTTGGAAAATTGCTCACTTTCTTGCAATTATCAATTTTAATTGATCGAAGACGAAAGGAACATGCTTAAACATGGGACATTTATGTATAGCATAATTCAATAGATCTTTATCGTTATGCAACAACTCAACTAGTAGAGAAGCTCCCTTAATTGTTACGAGGTAGAGAACAAAATAGGAAAAGTTGAACTTGTTATATGTTTGTATTATCATGTCTGCCTATTTTGTTTTGTCTTATTTCAAATTACTTGTTTGATGTCCACCATTCACATCTTGATTGGATGCGAGGTGCATCTGATTAATAGGAGCTTCATGAATGAAACTTCCATAACTACATATCTTCCAAAAGAACAAATAAAAGAAAAAGATGCTCCTCAGTTTTTGTGTGTAGTTGTTGTAAAAGGCTTTATCCTTGGGAGTGTATCACGTCATTAGGGGTTTGACTTCTCTCCAATTTCATAAGAATTGGAGAATCCACCAATTTTCTCTTGAATGGACAAGATCTCTACATATCAACATATTCAATTAATTAAAGAGGTATTGCACTTTTGAAATTTAAATTCAACTAAATCTTTTGATGTGTATAAATCTTGGCCTTTCAAGGTAGAATTGTAGAATCCTTCAATGATATAAAATTGGAAGGGAGCCTAACTCTGTCAATAGGATCTTTTGTGTTGTAATAACGTCATGTATTTATATTGTCTCTATTTTCTTA